TTCATCTGGTTGAAGGCGACCTTCAAAATCTGGAATATCAATTTTGATGCCAAGGTCAGTGGATTTGGGAGCAGCATTTTGTTGGGGACGTCGTCGACAATGAACTTTTTCTGTTGATGATGAGCTTTCATTATCCCTTAGGTGATGGAAGGGATTCTCGTCATCAGTATCTTCTTCTGACTCATGTGGTTCATCTTGCGGGTGTTGAGCTTGCTGTCCTTCAAAAGCTTCGAGTCTTTCTTGAAGCCTTTGAATTTGTTAACGTAGTTCTTCCATTTCTATGTCCCGAACAACTCGTTGACGAGGAGGATTTTGTCTTCTAGGAGGCATGATGAGTTTAGGTTGGTAAGGGGCTTTTTGGAAAGTTAGAATTTGAAAGTGGGGGTAATTTGAAATTTATAAAATTATGGGATCAATCTGTAAGGTCAAAATAAGTTGAGGGACTTGATGACATGGCAAAAGAGTGCGGCTGCAGTGATGATGTGTCACTGACGTGGCTGATGACGTGTCACTAACGTGGCTGATGACGTGTCAAGTGACGTGGCACAGATGACGTGGCAAATAGATGATGTGGCAGTGACTGTGTGATGACGTGGTAGTGACTGGATGGTGATGTGGCAGTGACTAGATGATGACATGGCGTATGACGTGGCATATGAGAGGTTGAAGATGACCGGCGCGTGACCTTCACGCGATTTGCAGTGGTGCGAGTGGCCGGCGCGGGAGTCAACGGCGGTGGCGCGTGTGGGCGTGTGCTTCCTCGTTCGTCCACCGGGTTTTCACCAAAATGCTCAGAATGACGTGCAGACTCCAAATATATTGGCTCTGATACCAAATGGCGTAGGAGCCAATACCGAAACACCGATTTTGGCGAGATTGAGAATCTCACTACGATGAATTCGATTGCCAGGATTACCACTTAGGTTGGCAAGACCTAAGATACAGAGATAAATTGAGAGAATCGACTCTCAACAAACTCAACTCAAAACAGAGGAGAATTGAAACTTCATTAACTGATAAAACACTTATGCATACAATGGTGAGAACATGGCTATTTATAGGCAAAATCTACTGAAAGGCAATAAATGAAAAGTAAAATGCAGTTGGGAGTTAGCAGTTGGAATTAATGGCTATGTTGACAAAGTTGCCAACCTATTGTGGTGTTGCAGAGTAGCTTCTGCATGCTTGTTGCAATGGCGTAGGTACTTTCTCCCGGTGCACACAACTCGCAGCTGGGTTGGATAAAATATAGTTTATTTGATATAATGGTTAAAATTTAACAAATAACAGATGGTGCATAATAGATAGTAGATATCAAATTTTAATTGATGTAATCATTTAGTTATATATTAATTTGTGGTTGTTATTTGATGTTAAATAACTAATAAAGATACATTTTAAAGTACTTAAGTGTTTGTTTTATATTTTATATTATTAAAATTATGAATTTTATAAAAAAAAAAAAAAGAAGAAAATATAATTAACATAATAGAATATAAAAGTGTAAACCACACACTCATTTCTATTTTTAACAAGTAAAAAAATTATATTACTTTCAAATAAAGAAAAAACAAACTTTTAATTACTTCTTCTAACTAGCAAATTTTGTTTATTAAACTAATATAATTTTTTTTGGTGATAAGTGAGTGTAAAAAATAAAAATATAACAATCATTTAATGTTATTAAAAGGAAAAAAATGAAGTTGAAACTAATTAGATAATTAGTAATTAAAGGCTATGGCAAAAAAATGAAAAATTAAAATGAATAAATTTGTCAATAAAATTAAAAAATTTCAATTCACTAATAGTTTAATACAAAAAAACTTTCTAAGATAGTTTTTTTAGTCTGTTAGCGATTTGTACTTAACTGTTATACATTAATCTCAAATTACTAACGGTATATTTGATTTGAGGAGAATGAAGGGGAGTAAAGGGGAAGAGTGAATTTTTTGATAAATCAAATT